CCAGGCTATCCTTGAGCTGTCAGTGATCCTCCTGCCTCTCTCTTGAGTGATGGGATTACAGGTGTATGCTACCACACCTGGCTTCTTGAAGGCAAGACTGTGTCCTTGCACCCAGCACAAGTGCCTGACACATAGTAGGTGTTTAATAAGGACACTTATCTGGAGCTTACTATGTGCAGACACTAACTCACTTAATCCTGTCAACATCCTGTAAGGTAGACATTGCTGTCATTTGCATTTGACAGATGAGAGACAAAGTACCTTGCCCAATAAGTAGCCCAGCCTGCAAGAGGAAGAGGTGGGATTTGAACTCAGGCAGGCTGGTTCTATCATGCTGTCAAACAGCCAATGTATATTTGTTAGATGGAGTGAACTCAAGGGGTTATATCCTGAGGTCACTTCTGAGTAAAAGGAACACCTAGAACCAGCCTCCTTGGCCAGAGCAGCCTTGAGGTCATGCAGTCCAGTTCCCTACATTCCAGCAGGTGTTACACGATTGTTGAGGAGAGAGCTACATTTCTTGTAGGGGTTGGACAGCCCCTGGGGCCTGCCTACAGCAACAGAGCTGTCTCTTGGGAGGCTTTCTTCCGCACTGGGAGTACCTCCTTCTGCCTCTCCAAAGGCTGCTCTATGAGGCAGTCTTAGCCAAACCTGTGAGTGGGAAGAACATGAAAGGAAGAGGGGCAGGAAGGACCAGAGGAGACAGAGAAGTGGGTGTGGTCTGTGTGCCTGTGTGAACCTGTGGCTTTTCTCATTACAGGCAGCAGTGATTGGGGATGTCCTGGGTCAAGGCCAGAAGGCATCTCATGGGGATAGGTTCTAGTTTATACCCCACCTGACTCCAAGGGAGTGATGGTGCAGAGAGTAGAGGGGCACAACTGGGGGGCAAGAAAGGAAAAGGGAGGCAGCTGGTCACAGGATGGGGCCACTGCTTTCTTAATGGGAAAGCAGAGGCTGGGTGTCAGCCTGGGGAGCTTAAGAAGGGGAAGAATGGGGAACACCAGTGGGGACACAGCAGGTACAACCTAGTGGATGGGTTCCCAGGCAGTCCAGAGGCTCCTGAGTTAGCAGAAGCCCTAAGGTACTGCTGTCCTTTGCCCCTAGGACCAATTGATAAGCTCACAAACTGTGCACTCTGCTCTTTGGTTGAGAACACAGACTACTTTGTGGCTGATAGTATGATTGACCACAGGGTACTGTTCTTCCCCATTTTGCCTGGCTCATAGGACTGATGAATTTGATGTCCTTCTTATTATCCTGAGGTGATAGAAATTTCTCAGAGAGGCCTGGAGGGTTGGGTCCTCAGGTCTAGGTGAACTGGAGACAGATTTCTTCCAGGGCAGGGAAAATGCCTGCTGCCCATGGAATGGGCTGGAGCCTCACATGTCCAGAATTCTTCTGGAATCTAGGAAGTGTCTTCCCTAGGGGATTCCATGGATGGGCATGCTTGGAACTCACTAGCACTGTTCAAAGAAATTAGTTGAATCATGTTTTTAAGCTGGATGTCATAGTATTATTTCTTCAAAGAAGTGTGACCCTCAGCTGCAATATAGAAAAAGGGAAAGTGGGCCCTGGAAGTTCCCTCAGGCTGTCTTCCCTAGGCCTTTAGAGAGCTTTCAGACAGTGCCAGGGAATCTTCTTTGAGAACAGCCTGGACAGACCAGGGCCTACCATGCCTTGAGTACTCTGCGGTTGGCTGCCTTTCATGACCATTAATCACTGCTAAGTGTCATTATTGCTAATAAAATTAACCGACTTTATACTCAGCCATCAATCTTGGGGTCTGCTACACGAAATTTTAAATCAGGTGCCTGCGCATTAGTGGAGGGCATTTTCACTGAGCCTGGCTTACAAATATAGCCTAGGGAACTGTGGTACTCTACAGCCTGCAAAAGATTATAATCAAGGACAATGACCTCAGTTTAACAAATCAGCTTCCAGACTTTGCTGTGCAGTCGGCAACTATCTCAGGCAAGAACACAGGCGAACCTCAAGAGAACTCCAGGACCAGTGCCCAAAAACGTTTCCCCAATTCTCCCTTCTAGTCTCACTATTCTTTCTCCCAGTACATTTGGTTCAACCCTTTGCCCCCCTCTTTGGGTCAGCTTCCTCTGTTTGTCTTCTAGGTTACAAATGCACTCACCCAAATACAGAAAGGGAGAGAAAGTAACTGCATACTCTATTAATTCAAGTTCCAAATTTCCAGAGAAAAGATTGATTGGCCAAGCTCGGCTCATGTGATCATTATCAGTCCAATCAACAGACTAGAACAGCAAGGTCATGTGATATGAAATGTCCAGTAGAGATTACACGATAGTCATACAGACAGAAGAAATGGGTAGGTAGCAACATGCAGCTGGGACTCATAGTGATTATCCTGTCTCAGCCTCCCCAGTGCTGGGATTACAGGTGTACACCACCACGATGGTTTTGGTGACCACACAGAGTGCCCAGGACTGGGGCTGACATGGCATGCAGTATGGGGAGATTGAACTCAGAACCCTGCATTTGCCTGCAGGTGCTTGAGCCATTGAGCTGTCTCCCCAGCCAAGCAATAGTAATTTAAAGGGCTCAGAAATAGCTGCTGAAAAAGTGATAGGCACACACACACACACACACACACACACACACACACACATCATAACACATTAATAAATATATAATGTTATATAATATGACAGAATATTTGTATAATGATAAACTAGAGATCTCTCTCTCTCTCTCTCTCTCTCTCTCTCTCTCTCTCTCTCTCTCTCTCATCTTTTTTTTGTGTGTGGTACCTGGGATCAAACTCAAGGACCTTGTGCTTATGCCACTGAGCTACCTCCCTGGTCCTTTTTTTTTTTTTGGTCTTTTTGAGACAGAGTCTTGCCATGCAATTCGGGCTGGCCTTGAGCTCACTTTTTAGCCCAGGCTGGTTTTGAGCTTGCCTTGATACTCCTGTCTCAGCCTCCGAAGTGCTGGCCTCACAGAGGTGTCCCACCACGCCTAGCTATGTAGTTATTATTCTTGAAATGGCATTTGCAACAGACATGGAAGTTATAAAGGATGCTCAGTCCCACAGGCTAAATTTCTCATCACTCTGTGGTTGTTTCCTGTTTTGTCAGCGAGCTTTTATAAGTAAGATCTTGATTTCCAGCAACAGAAATTATATGAGCAAAAGTTTCCCCTCACACCAGCCCCTGGTGTGAGGACCTTTGAGTAGCCCACTAGGCTGCTGTTCTCTTTGCTCCTGCATCCCTGAGCTGCCGTCCAGGCTGGGGCCAGTTAAGGTGAGGCCTTCTCAGCTGAAGCTGACCTCAGGTTCTGCTCCAGACCTGCCAAGGGTCAAGCTCTGAGGATTTCCTGCCAGGCTTCAGGGAGGGGTTTGAGTGCAGGCTTGGTGGACTGGAAATTTACCCATTTGCCCCCAGATCAATGATTAACAGGCCCCTGCCCTCACCCTGTTTAGGTGGGGAGCCCAGGGCCAGGCTGGGCCAAGAGGAGCCCGATAGCATCTGTCTCTGTTTGGAGGTTTCAGAGATATGCTCCACACTGGGGCAGCTGCACCTGATGGACTTGGAATCTACAGGAGCACCATGGGCACAAGCAGGATCCACACCCTCCAGCGAGGCTCCTACTCTGCCAGACAGAGGATGTGGCACTCAGCCAAATTTCTTGGCTAAGGCAGGTAACTCCACGCAGGAGAGCAGTGTACTTGGCTCAGCTGGAAAGCTCTCCCTCATGGCTCAGGGCTTGCTGGGGCCAGGAGCAAGCAGCCATGACCAGTGCCACATCCATCTGGGAGCTCTGGGAGCTGTGCTCTGCTTCCACCTCTGCTCTTTATCCTGGCTATGAGGCTGGCATGCTGCAGAGAGGTGCTGCTTCCTCCGGCCTGGGTCGCTACCCTCCCAGATAGGAGATAGCAAACATCTTGAACTATGCTTCATGTCATAGAGCTTCTGAGAGGACAGAAAATACCACGATTCAGGATCTTGCCTTATTGCTTGTTGGTTGTATCCGTGCCAGTCCTTGCCTCCTCATAAAACCTCTGTGTCCTCATCTGGACAAAGGGAGATTCTGCCTAATTAGAGAGTAAGGCATCTAGCAAGAGAACAGTTAGAGAAACTTCAGCTAGCAGGAAGGCAAGCCAGCATGTCCTGGGTGCTGTGGATTTTTCCTTTCCTATAACCTTCGTGGCAACCCTGAAAGGTAGAGTGGGCCACTCCTTGTACTTTGCAGAAGAGAAAATCATGACCTCAGGTTTTCACTGCTAGAAGTAATAGAGTTAGGTTTAGAATTTTCCAGTCTGAGTCTGAACTCAACAGATTTTGGGTATAGAACAAAAATCTGGGATTCACCTTCATCCAACCATTTGTCAGCCTGGCTTTTCTTCTTCCTCCTCCTTTCCTCTTGCCTTCATCCCTTCCTTTTTGCTTTCTTTCCATTCCTCAAACATCTATTTGTTCCAGGCACCAAATGGCCAAATGGCTGGAGATCTATTTGGATTCAGAAAACAAGCTCAGAAGGCCTATGGTTACTTGCAGCAGTTCAATGCAAGGGAGAGAAGGCTCTGGGGGACTTTGGGTGTTGTGCTGAGTCCACGTGCCCTGTGCCTACCCTCTCTTAGGAAGGTTGCTGTCACAGGCAACAGAGGTACTCTGTAATGTTTCCCAGACTTCCTGGATTATAGCAGCTGTTATAGCTCAGGCAATGGAGTCAGAATTGCCCAGTGTGGATCCTATCCTGGGAATCTGTATGTTTACCAAGCACTCAAATGATTTTTCTAATTGGGGAATTTGGGGGAAAAGAATAGAAACTGGAACTTGCGAAGTTTGAATTTAAGGTTCTGCATCAGTCCTTACTAACACCTTGATCTCCTATTCTGTAAGATCATAAACCAAAAGACCAATAAAAGAAGATCCTGGGGAAGGTCCCTTCAACCCATCCTTCACATTCTCGCAGATTGTCCCCTGTCAGGACTCCCAAGGCTTATGTCTCCCTTTTCTCATCCTCTCCAGCTTGACTGGGCGGGAGGTGCTAACATCCTTCCCAGGGCTGGGCACCGAGGTGGCCCCAACACAGGGCAGTGCCCACCTGAAGCAGTGTGACCTGCTGAAGCTGTCCCGCCGGCAGAAACAGCTGTGCAGGCGGGAACCTGGCCTGGCTGAGACCCTGCGGGATGCAGCACACCTTAGCCTGATGGAGTGTCAGTTCCAGTTCCGGCAGGAGCGCTGGAATTGCAGCCTGGAGGGAAGGACTGGCCTGCTCAAGAGAGGTGGGAAGAGCGCTGGGTATGTGGGAGGGAGGGAGGAGGAGGCCACACTTCACTCTTCCCTGGGTCCAGCCCTAAGTGAGAAGAGCCCTGCGGATTTGTGAAGGTCTCTTGACGGCCATTCATGGCCGAACCTAAGTTGGGGGAGACAGATGAACAACAAAGACACTGAAAGGAGGGGACATAAGCCACCCCTGGAGGAGCCCATAGGTGAGATTGAGGTCTCAGCAGCCTCCCTGTGCCTCCCATACTCACTGACAACAGTGTTCAGGAACTTGCGAGGATGGAGGCCACTAATAACTGGCCAAGATGCACAAGGCATCCTTTTGTCTCTCGGTTGCCTAAATTTGTTGTCATTCCCTCCCTTTTCTTCCCCTGCCTCCCTTCCTGGTTCCTGGCTCCCTTAGGGCCTCCATCCAGTCACCCACTGAGCATAAATAGAGGCTCACAGTGAGACAGGCATTGTGCCAAATGCTGGTCAAGTGCTGAGCCTGACCCTCTGTGCTCAGAAAGTGCACTGTCTAGGAGGGTACAAAGCAGATCATCATGTGACTTCACAGCCTGGAGGAAAGTGCTAGAATAGGAGATTTCTACAACAATACAGTGGCATGGGCCGGGGAGATAGCTCAGTGGACTAAGCGCCTGCTTAGGCAAGTGCAGGGACTGAGGTTCGAGCCCCAGTAGCACATGCCATGCTGGCCCTGCCCCTGGGCCTGCTGAGCCAGCCACTGAGACTGAGACCAGATGTGGTGGTACACGCCTGTAATTCCAGTGCTGGAGAGGCTGAAAACAGGAGGATCACTATGGGTCAGAGCTGTGTAGTGGGACCCTGTAACAAAAACATTAAAGAGAGAGAGAGAGAGAGAGAGAGAGAGAGAGAGAAATAAAAAAAATACAGTGGTAGTGATGGGCAGGCAGTTGCCTTCTAGGCCAGCTTCTCTGCACAGCAGGAGAAGGTCCAGGTAGAGCAAGTGGCCTGCCTTCCTCTTAGTGTCACCAGCACCCAGATGTCTGGAGAGCCCCACCCCTGGCAGGGCAAGTGTAGCGATGGCTCTGGAAGAGGCTGGGATGCGCAGTCCAGGGCGAGTCAGGCAGGAGACTCAGGGCCACCCTTTAATCGGGCAAACTGTTTAGTGGATGCAGACAATGATGGATGTGAGACATTGGAAGCACCGGGAGCCCATGGTGCTTTGTCAGGGGACCAGAAGCCTCAGAAATGGTCGATCCGACTTGTCATACATGTACTTGGAGTCAAGGTGGCTCTTTGGCTCCAGCTTGGCACCTCCCTTGGTGCCCAAGCCCCTTCACTTTGCATCTTAGTTCTTGTTGCTGGAGTCTGTGAGTGCTGTCCTATTGCCCCTGTGAATCTGGGCACACGCTCCTCGGTGAATTTGGAAGTTCCCATGAGCCTGAACAGCAGGCGATAGGGAGCTGTGTGTGTGGGCTGCAAGACCCTGATTTGGCTTATCGTGATGCTCCCACCAGCCCTCCTGTCCTCAGATAGCCTCTGAACTGCCTCTTTCTCCCTGCTTTCACCCTGGTGCCTGGCACAGGTTTCAAGGAGACAGCCTTCCTGTATGCAATGTCTGCAGCTGCCCTCACCCATGCACTGGCCCGGGCTTGCAGTGCTGGGCGCATGGAGCGCTGCACCTGCGATGACTCCCCAGGCCTGGAAAGCCGGCAGGCTTGGCAATGGGGCGTGTGTGGTGACAACCTCAGGTATAGCACCAAATTCCTGAGCAACTTCCTGGGACCCAAGAGAGGAAGCAAAGACCTGCGGGCTCGGGCTGATGCTCACAACACCCATGTGGGCATTAAGGTGAGCATGTTCTCTGGATACCCAAAGCACTGCCCCTGGGCAGGGTGCAGAGATGGGGAGCAAGGTCTATAGGAGGCCAGCACTCCATATAAAACATATACTCACTCCAGGATGAACTTTAGTCCTTTAACTGACATGTGCGTATCTACTCTGGGTCTAGAGTATGTATGGTATACATTACTGTATACCATAGGCATGAGAAAATAGGGAAGGGGCATGGCATTACTCATGGGTGGGTAGTAGTAGGGACAGGCTTGGGACATGTTTTGGCAAAGCAGGACCATGTTTAGAGAAGAGCATCCATTTCAAGGGTGAAGCCAACATTGTTCAAATGACTTTGATCAAGGCAAGCTCTACCTGCCAGAATGTTTTGGATAGGAAGATGGAGGAGACCCAGAGAGGACAGGGACTTACCTGAGGTCACTGCTGAGGACTTGTACTGGGTAAACTGCTAGTGATAAGATCTGTTGGGGTGCTCAGTGCTGCTTGAGATCAAGCTGGGGACTCTCTACCACTGAGCTACATGCCTAGCCCTATTTATTTATTTATTATTTATTTAATGTATTTGGTTGTTGCAGAGTCTCACTACGCAGCTCAGACTTGTGATCCTCTTGCTTTCAGCACCCCCAGTGCTATGATTACAGGCGTGCGCCACCGCGCCTGGACTCTGTGGATGGCTCAGCCCGCCCTGGGGGCAGGGCTGGCTTAGCATGTGGTCCCAGCGCTTTTGCCTAAGCTTGCCTATGCTTGCCTGAGCAGTCACTTTAGTCCGCTGAGCTATCTCACTGGCACCCCTTTTTATTTTTTGAGACAGTCTTGCTAAGTTGCCCAGGCTTGCCTCACACTTGTGATCCTCCTGCCTCCTGAGCTTCAAGCCCCATGCTTCCCATCCTATTGAGAGTCTTTAGGAAATGAAACTCTGTGCTTTTGTGTCCTCGTCATTGAGTTGTGTAAATTGTGGCTGCTGTACTTGGGTGTGCAGGCTATGTATTCCACGAGAACATATTCTCTGGGCCATGGGAAGAGTGAGCTCTGACTCACGCAGCCCTCACCCCAGTGTACACTGCCCAGAGCAAGGGGAGCCTTTCTGTGCTTCGTGTGAAGATGCCTCTTGGCTCAGCTCAGGCCCCGTTGCTTCCCTCACGCTCCTCCACGTCTGCTTCTCATCTGATGGTCCTCTGCATGTCGGCACTCTAATATGGACCTCTGACCATGCCTCATGTGCATCTTTCTGCAGGCTGTGAAGAATGGCCTCAGGACCACCTGCAAATGCCATGGAGTATCAGGATCCTGTGCTGTACGCACCTGCTGGAAGCAGCTCTCCCCCTTCCGGGAGACAGGCCAGGTGCTAAAACTGCGCTATGACTTGGCTGTCAAGGTATCCAGTGCCACCAATGAGGCTCTGGGCCACCTGGAGCTGTGGGCACCTGCCGAGTCAGGTGGCCCCACCAAGAGTCTGGCTCCACGGCCTGGGGACCTGGTCTACATGGAAGACTCCCCCAGCTTCTGCCGGCCCAGCAAGTATTCCCCAGGCACAGCTGGCCGGGTGTGCTCCCGGGAGGCCAGCTGCAGCAGCCTGTGCTGTGGGCGTGGCTATGACACCCAGAGCCGCCTGGTGGCCTTCTCTTGCCACTGCCAGGTTCAGTGGTGCTGCTATGTGGAGTGCCAGCAGTGCGTACAACAGGAGCTCGTATACACCTGTAAGCGCTAGGCACCGCACCGTGAGCCAGCCCGTGCTGCTGGGACCTTGGTGGCCCCTTGTGGCAGGTACACACGATGTGCATGTGAATACTGATGGGCATGCTTGTGCACACACGTGTGCCACTCCTCACTTTTCTGCCCCTGCTCCACCCTTGGTCAGCACCTTGTCTCCCATAACACTCAGCAGACACAAGCAAAGGGTCCTGCCCTGAGTCCAACCTTGTTGAAGATTTGGAACAGGAGAGCAGACTGGGAAGGGGTATGGAGGGAAATAAAGGAGACCTAGAGGAGAGCAGGCGTGAGATTGTGCAGGGAGGGAGAGGTGCCATCTCTCATTCCTGGGATGCATGGCCTGGAGCCATCAAGCCGCTGGCAGAATGCACAAGAGACCAGGCCAGCTGGCAGCCTGGCGGGCATCCAGCCAGGATGGGTCCATGCAGCCCTGCTCAGACTGCAATGAGCTCTGAGTGCCATACACTCACACTATGCTGGTGGCAGTGCTAGGGGCTGTTTGGAGCAAGGGAATCTTTCTGGATTTAGTGGGACCAAATTAGATCCTTGCCCTCAAGCCTCACGTCCTTGAATTGATTTTTTCAGACCTACCTACACTGAAACCTCATTCTTGTCCCCAGAGCTGAATTTCTCACAGCTACCCAGATCTATTCAATATTTAAGGCAGTTAAGGAAAATGGGAGACCAGCTGCTGGAGTGGGACTCAAACAGTGCACCTGCAGTTGGGCAGGAAGACAGTGACCCCTCTCCCTTTTCCCTCCAAATGAAGAGGGTGGCTATCACCTCATGCCAGCAGGGATGCAGCTGCATTTCAGCTTTCGTTGGAGTGTGTTCTGGCTGAGCCTTGTGGCTGTGGTCCACCTGGCTGGGAGGCCCCGCAGCCGCTAATGTCTGTGTTGCAGAAGGACCTTGGACTCATGATCTGTGGTCCTGGTTACATGCCTGTTCTCATGGCTGCTTGTCTAACTTGGGCTTTTCTCCTGGTAGAGTCTACTAAGCCTGGCTCCTTGGTGGCCTCTGTCTTTAGTAATGGGCCCTTACTTGGGCCCCTGCCTGGGGAATAGAAGTGACTGCTAATTTCTGTGGGCCTCTGGACCTTCCAAGGCCCCAAGTGGAAGGAGGAGAAAACTGCATCCATTTATAGGTGCACACAGATGCCTGCTCTGCTGGAACCATGTGGAGGGTTTGCAGGGAGCAGCACGCATCTTTGGCCCAGGATGAAGCTCTGGCAGGGGTCAATTTGCTGGAGCCTATGTGCTTCCCAAGAGCAGGGCCTGAGGCCAGCAGAGAGGAAGTGACCTCCTGCGGGAAGCTTATAGCTGCCTGGCTGGTCTGCCGCGCCCTCTTGTACGCTTCCTTTCTCCCTGAACCCAGGGCTGCTGACCCTCCGCTGAAACAGGAAACCCAGAATCAGCCAAGTGCACAGAACTCTTGGGAAATCCAGCTCCAGGAAGAAAGTCAGAGGCCCAACAGCCTGCCTGAGACCTTCACAGCCAGAGAAGCACTCTGGTGACCTGAGGCAGTCTGGGATGCTGGAAGGGGCTTTGATGGTGGAGGCAGTGAGAAAAGCCAAACTGCCTTGACATCCCAGATAGAATGATTTTGCTGACTTGGCAGCTGGACCACATCTTGGAAGAAGGAGGAAAAAAGGGATGTACCTGGTTTTCTACTTTTGTTCCACTTCCCCCTCTGCATGGAGACTTGTTTTCTGCCAGTGGGATCCATCTTGCTCCTCTGTGACTCTAGCACTGCTTCTGTCATGGCTCAGCTCTGGGCTGCACTGGTAGGAGGAGGGACTTGGGAACAACTTGGGTCTGCACCCGACCTCTATGGCTGTTAGTGGTGGGGCTGCAGGAGGGTGAGGGATAGACTCAGATGCCCAAGGTCATGGTTGGCCACTAGCACTGACATCCCCGTCACTGACCCTTGGCTTGTGGGGGTTCTCTTGGTCTAACCCCCCCTCTCTCTTTTTCTTTTTTTTTTTTCTTTCTTCCAGCTCTTTATCTCTTTGTTACCCCTAAAATGCCAGCCTAGCCCTGCTGGGGCTCCTTGGGACCAGAGTGACCAATAACCCCTCATTCTGCAGCTTTAAGGGAAATGTTCACAGGGTATTTTTGTCTACCTCACGTATATAGTTTTTAGAACAAAAGAGAATATTTATATAGCTAAGATAAAGTATTTATGTTATTTATATAGTTTCTCTTTCACAGGCAGCACATGTGGAATTTGTATTTCCCCAGAAGCCTTTTGTCTGGGGAAACACAGCCTGGCCTGGCTGGGCCCACTGAGCTAGATGCCAGGTGGCTGGAGGAGGTGGCGTTAGCTTAGCGTCCAGTGATCCATCTTGGAACTGGTGGGCGTGCGTCTTCTTTGGAATGGGCCCTGCTGGTTTGATCTAGATCCTGCTGAAGTCTTTGTAGAGTCTTTGCTCCTCTGGGTCCCAGGCCCACTTCTTTAGCTCTGGCAAAAATATTTTGCTCATAGTAATAATAAATATATGGGTGACTATATCTGGCACCTGGCATTTGTAAAGCACTTTCCCTTTTTAGAACATATTTTTATCTCTTTAATCACTTGATTTTGCCAATATTCTTGAGAGGTTGGGGCTATATTACTGTACCCACCTTTGAGATGAGACCCAGAGATGGAGGTCTGAGCTCAAAGTCACACAGCAGGGAGTTGTTCCATGAATATTCACTAAATGTCTACGCAGACCCTGCACTAGGGGAGCTACTTACCTCGAGCCTGAGAGCCAAAGCCTAAATATTAGCCCACACCCACAAACTCAGGAAAGTGGCTTCTTTCCTCATCGTTTGTTTCCTGCCTTTTGAGTCTGGATAGCGTGCCAGTATTGCCAAGTGAAGTACTGTGTTTCTGGGACTGAAGTGCCTGAGAGGCCTGGAGAGAACTCGTGGAAGTCATTCCAGGGGGCTCCTCTGTCACATGGCCCAAGGAAGCTGGGCCACACCACTGGACCCCCTCCAGAGGAGTTTCATTTGCTTTTCTTTGAAAGTTTACTTTTTCAAATATATTGTTACCCACTGGATTTCTGGGTTTTTTTTCCCCCCTTGAAAAATCAACCCTATTGATAAACTGGGTCTTCATTCCCATCTGGCTGCATTAAGCCAGTGCAAGGGACAGGATTCACAGGGTGACCCTTGCCCCAGCCCTCCACACTCATGAATGTTTTTGCAGGACTGTCATAGACAGTCTGCCTCCTCTCTAGTTAACCCCAGATGCCCTGGACTTTTCTATTGCCTGGCAGACAGCTAGACAGACAGACCCATGCTAATCCTGAAGTTTATTTCTTGCTTTACAAGTTTCCTTTCCCCAAAACTATGAACTTCCTCTGCTTTTAGTTCCAGCACACTTTAGAATTACAAACATAGTTATCATTTGTCAAGTGCCCACTACATCCACCCATGATTATTTATGATGTTCCTATTGAGTGCCAGGCACCCTCCTGGGTGCTGGGGTATAGCAATATATAAGATCAAGTGGGGCTGACATCCTGGTGGTGGAAAGACAGTTAACCAATAAAAGCTACATGCCAGTTATTTGTACTTATTTTGTGTTGATTTATTGCAATGACTCTGCATGCTGGACAATGCTACCTAGAACAGCTAAGGAAAGATAGGAAGGCACCTAATTGCCAGTAGCGAGCAGATGCGCCAGGATTGGAACACAGATCTCCTGGATTTCAAAGTGTGAGTTCTTTCCTCTCCACATTGCTGCGTCTCCTCAGGTGCAGGGAATGCAGGCAGTGGTCACTGCACTTGGTAGATTCTGGTTAAATAGAGGCCAAGGGAAAGGGTGCAGTCTATCTCAGGTGGCACACAAGGACAGATTGGAGGCTGGGTTTCTGCTGCTATGTTTTGTATTTTAGGGAAGGGTCTACGGGGTGTTCAGTGTCTCACTACTAGATTGGACCCATAGTGATCTGCCTGTTTACAGCCTCCCCAGTGCTAGGATTGGGGAGTCTAGCAGGAGACTAGACTGGGGGTCTAGCAGGAGAAACAAGACGTATGACACGCAGCTGTTCAGACCATTTCCGTGTTGACCCCAAGTCCCTTCTCCAGCCACACTGCATTCCCAGCATACTCTGAGAAGCCTCAGCTTCTGGGGATCTAGGGCAAGGGACTCTTCTGAAAACAGATATCAGACAGTGCTTAGTTGTCGGTCCATAGTTGGTCTGTCCCCAGCTCTGCAGCCCTGCTGGAGACCACAGTACCTTACTTAAGGTCCTCAGGAAGGTAAACAGCCCTGAGGGTACCTTCTTTCCCGCTTCATCCCAGTCCTAACATGTTTCTGGGCCCTGTGTCCCTGGACCTGGACTCCAGCTGGTCTGAGCAATGACAGACCCTCGACTCCACAGGTGGTGGCAGCCTCCACCTCACCAAGGGATTTCTCACGCGCCTTCCCTCTTGAGCCTCACATATGGTGCCCCCCTTCCCTTTTCACAGAGAGGGAGGCTGTGGTATGGGATGGCCAGGGAGAGAACGAAAGGCCACGCTGCCAGCAAGCAGGCATCTTCTTCCTCCCTTATTCTCTCTACTGTACACCACCTTCGGCGTCCGTCCACCTCCTGTTTGAGCTTTCCTGCTCCTGCCTATAAACCGGTTCTCAAACAGGCCCTCAGGCCTCCCCACCTTCAGCTGCTGGAGCTGCCACTCTTCCTGGGGGATCAGGGCTTGTTGAGACAATCACTAGGTCGGTGTGCCCCACTGAAAAGCATTAAGCCACATTTGCACGCATAGTATCTCTCTCTCCATATTTATCTTGTTGAACCACTTAGGAGAGCTTTGTAGACACTGGCAATTCAGCATTTATCACAGATCTCCTAAAAACAAGAACTTCCTGAAGTTTTAGCACTGATGAATAGTGCAATACTATCCATCTTCATATTCCCCAATCTACCCTCAAAATGCACTTTATGACATGGGCATGGTATAATCCCAGTACCAGAGAGGCTGAGGCAGGAGAACCACTATGAGTTAAGAGGCCAGCCTGAGGGCTGGGGAGATGGCTCAGTAGAATAAGTGCTAGCCTGGCAAGCGCCAGGGCCTGAGTTCAATCCCTGGTTCTGAAAAAAAAAAAATA